AAGCCGCCGCTGCCGCCGCTGATTCAACGTACCACCGTGGCTCTTACGCAACTTCACCATCTCCTGCAGCAAGCCACCGACATTCTGGCAGACCTCCACAACCTTTACTTGATCCACACTGGACAAGTTGATTCACACTTCCACCGTCCTTTTCCACCGTTACCAACACCTCCACCTCGTCCACTCCCAGTTCCCTCTTCCACCTCGCCCAAGTTCCCTGTCCCAGTTCCCTGCCCCCAGTTCCCTGTCCAGTTTGCTGCCCCCAGTTCCCTGTCCCAAGTTCCCTGTCCCCAGTTTGCTGCCCCCAGTTCCCTGCCCGCCAGTTCATCCTGTGACACACCTCCTCCACGTCCTCGGCCCTCCCCTCCGATTCCTGATCCTCCAGCAACTCCCGATGCACCCTCCCCCTCTCCACCACCTCGACGTCACAATCGCTCCAAACGACAAGGGCCTCCACCCCCCCACACTGATGCAAATTGGGATGATTGGGACGCAGACGTCGAATGTCGTCTTGTGGAACTCCAAACCGATCCACACGTTCGTCCGAACTGGACAGCGCAATCGCCGCGCCAAACTCAAGCAACTCCAAAACAACATCCCAGTCTCAGCTGAACTTTCCTTACGCTACTGGGATGCACACAACAACATTCACCACTACACCACTATTCAACTTTCCTCTCATGACACGTACGACCAGGCCTGGATACACGAACACAACCACATCTCCGGCCCCCCTCAACTGGCCTTTCATTTCACACCACCTCAAACTCAAAGCCCAAGGCTGGCAGTTTACCAAACATCGAGCTCACTTCTACTCACGCTTAGCCACACACAAGCGACTCTTCTGTCGACTACGCCGACGACAACACACCCTTCGGGAACTGCACCTCTTTACCTCCACCAAGCACCATGCCCTGACTATCCTGCGCAATCTTACCAAACATACATCCGCCTCTTTCGAAGCTGCCAAAAAACTCCGCAGCGGCCGTCATACCGACCTTGAAGTCTATGCTATTCGACGCATGGCCGCCAATCTCGACTCCACATTATTCATCAAGCGCTCAAATACCGCAACCTGACACCACCACGACCCAACATCCCCCTCACGGTCCCTTTCCTCGCTCACGAGGACTTCCTCAAGCACACCCAACAATGGCTTCAAACCACTATCCAGCAACACAAAGACCTTGCCATCCCCCTCCACTTGCCCACCCATAGGCTCCGAGAAGCCGCCCACAAGACACTTCTCCTCCACCCGGACACGCCCACTACCAATGGACATTACATTCTCACCCTTGATCAACTCAACTTGCCACCACATCTCCGCATCTTCCTAGATGCCAACATGAACAGCACTTTCTATCCAACCAAAGCTCCATACTTTCTCACCTTCCAAGCAGCCTTCCACAAATGGCTCAAGCTTCAAGGCCTTCCAGTTTCCCTGACTCAACACTTGGAACCTTTTTTGCAACATCAATGGTGCCTCCACGTCACCCACCTCAAACACCGCCCACATTTCACGGCCCGCCTCTTGCGGCAACTCCAAGCCTACCTCGGCGATCAAGTCCTACTCCACCATGCAGACCACGAACTGCAGCAGCTCCGTGTGTTCTGTCCACGTCAATACTTCACAGGACCTCTCAACACATGGCAGGCTTCTGTTTCAGGGATGATGTTAGCGAGCTGCGAGGCGGATTGCCATTCCTTTCCCTGCGCGCTCTCCTGCGTAGTCCGCATTGGTGTCTCTCTCTCTCTCACAACTGCATCCAAAGCTGTCGCCATAGCTAGATCCTCGAAATTGTTGGACAACTTCCAGTCAATCCAGGAACGAAATTCATGGCCTCTTTTCTCCGTTTTGAACACACCCATGACCAAGCTCTGTCGGTCTGGGTCACCGTCATCACCGAGATTGTGGAAACTCTCGTCAGCCATCCTCATCAGCTGCCTTCGGGTAGAAACATTTTGTTGTCCACCGCGCTTCTGCCTCCTCGTCCTGTCCTGCAGAGCCCAGCCCGCTATAGGCGGTGATCTCCCAGAACTTCCATGCGGAAATAAGTTCATTAGCTGCTCTCCCTGGACCCCCTTACTGCACCGAAAGTGAAGCCCTCACTGCATGACCACTCTTCACCCTTCACTTGCTGGAAGTTGCCGATGTGCTTGTCACGTAGTCGTGGAACACTCTTCTTGATTTTCCATTCTTAGCAACAAGCCGTCGAGGTGTGTAGTAGTTGATCGCTGGGGCGGTGCTGGAGCCTATAGGCCGCTAGCCAGACAAGGATGAGCAAAGCCAAATAGCCTTGACTTGAGGGCGATTTGTCTTCTATAACAAGGGACGTGTCCACCTCGCGGATGTCGTGGTGCTCGTGGTGGTGTCGTGAGCAGGAGTCCCGGCGCTTTACGGCCAGGCCTCCGCTGCTATGAAAAGCAGCGCAGGCGCCTTTTCACCAAGGAAACTGGTGCCTAAAATGGGGTCGAATCGATGTCACAATGACTGTTTGGTGTCTTGACGTTTCGGTATGTTCTAAAATATTAGGTTGGATTCTGCGCGTACACGTCAATACCCAATAGCATTTCACCTCTTTGGGCTCTGGCCAGCATGTCAACAGCGAGTGCATTGACTGGAGTCGGCCGCTTCATGCGCTGCATAAGTCCCTGTCGCGCAAACCATCATGTGGCAATTCCAAGAAGTGTATCGTAATAAATATATAATCAATATTTGTGTTTTTGTATCTGCATTTTTTGGAGATAACATGGGTTGACTAGCAACTCGTTTATACCAAGCCAAGAAGTCCATCGCTCTCATGCCCCGAATGACGGTGTTTTTCCCTGCCAAGCATCACTCGGTACTGTGCCTGGTTTGTGGCTGGCACACACTTATTGCCTGGTTCCAGCAACTGTATGGGAGGCAAACAAACAGAATCCCCAAGGCACTAAGCCCTGGGCGCATCTCCTGAATACAATTGTCCACAAAGACACGAGCTGTACCACGGGCTGGAAGCCACGCCAAATCCTTGATTCTGGACAACATTCAGCTTCTCGAAACAACCGAATCCCAGCCACACACCTCTGGTTCCTGGCACCCAAGCACAGATATAATTATCCTTGGCGGAATCGTTGTATATGGATAACTGGCTAAGACATATAAAACAATGCAGTCTCTCACTCAGCCCTTTGCTTCACCTGGTGCAAAGAGTCTCTGCCTTCAAAGACCGGCCTTTGACAGCTCGAGATGACTTCAAGAGAACTTGGATGATCGTCAACACGTTGTGTTGATAACTTGCATGTTCGGTTTGTTCGCACCTTCGAGTCAGCATCTCTCCAAGGATGCACCCTGCAGACCACATGTCCACTGCCTCAATCAATGCTGGCAGTGGACTTTTCTCAAACACGGAACATCAATCTTAACTTACATAACGCTTCAGGACACCAAGTCCAAGGCATATGTGTACCTAGATGCTGTAAGAACCACCTGAGAAGGAAACAATATGAGCAAATGACGTGTGAGCAACACCCGCCCCAAGACCCAACATGCCTCGGGAGCACGATAATAGCGCGTCACTACGTATTCTGTCAGCATGATCTGATCATGAGCATCCTGAAAAACACAAAGCCTCTCATTTCTGTTCCACAAGAATCGACTAGGACCGCATCTTGAAACATCTTGAAACAATATATAATAGGTAGGAGTTGAATGCAGTTGAGGTCCGCTGTAAATTTAATCCTTGCCTCATCTGAGTCGATACCTCGGGCGAGGCCTAAATCCGCGATCTTGACCTGTCGCTGTCAGAAGCCACGGCGTCAGGTAGTCTCAATATTGAGCTACGCCACAAAGGCTACGTCGCTACACACGGAGCCCTTAAGTTGTTTTAATTCACCATCCATGGATTCAATGTTGTCAGATGTTCTCAGATATGGATGTATAGATAGCGGACACGCTGAGGAATATAGTGGGTGGATTGTTCAGGACTATGGAGCTCTTCACTGCTAGACCAGCTCTGCAACCCTTAGTACGCCGATTGTTATATATAAACATTTAAAGCTTGGGGTCTAAACAGGCTTGCGCCAGCCGTGGCACCTTAGAAAAGTCCCCACCTCAAGCGTCAAGATGGCCTAGGAATTCCTAAGACCATGTTCCTGTATCTGTGCTTAGGTGGTGCAGCAGTGAGCATGCCAAAGACAAGCATCCAGGTACTAGGTTGGATCGCGAGAACAGTTCACAGCCCTTTGGAGACTTGAGATTGACATATGTTGACGGCATGAGCATTCACATGTCCTTAAACATGTTTGGTCATGTCGAAGGCCAGTCCTCTCCGGTGTGACCGACCAGTATATTTCCAGGCTTCAAATCCTTAGCGGGCGATTTGGAGCCTTTCGCACTTAGCGCAAGCACTGTGCAACATGCAATGTAAAAAACCATGTGCAGCAAGAAGCAAAGTGCAAACAAAGCTGTTGAGTTCAACTGAGATCTACTCCCGATGTATGACGCATGCAAATCTCAAGCAAAGTAAACCCCTCATCACAGAGTAAAGCACCTCATCTTTGCAACTTAAGCAGTCCACACTCATCCAACCGGCCCTACTCAGGAATCAAGGCGCTCATCTCCAAACCTAGGTTGCTGACCTGCTGGACCTGCTTGAAATGAATTCAGATGTATCATTTGAATAAAGAAATACTTTAGGTTTGCAGTGAAAAACACGTGCTGTCGTAAAACGGGTGACTGAAACCATGCCTGAATATCGGTCAAATAGCTCTGGTTTCCATATATTAGCGTGTGGAGGTCACCATCCATCCTCGAGGTCGCTGAGGCAAACCCGCTCGAAATGATACGCCAATTACAGTAAATTGCAAATCTGTAGAGTATTAGAGTCCTCTCCAGGCACAAGTAGGCATCCTGGAAAAATCAATGTTCATGCTGACCCCAAATGAATGAATGCAACCTTTGGAGAGCAAATGGATGTGTGAGAACTATGAAAAACCTGCTACACATTCAACTGCAAAGTGTGGATGCTGCGTGAGTCACCCATTTTCATGCAACTGCCAATGAATGTGAATGAGATCGTGTCCTTGAAATCCGTCCCATCCAGCCAAAGACATTGCAAACGAAGGATATTGGGATGCTGAAAATGTGCCAAAAGTTTGACCTGCGCTCAAGAGACTATATAACGTCATTTGATGGGCAGCGTGCTCATATCAAGATAAACCTTTCAAAAGGATTTATGGTTCTAAAGACTGATGACGACTCCACAGAAGTAGCAATTGGAGGAGAGTATTATCAATCTTGGGGAGATTCAAACGTCATTGGATGTCACCTCCCTCAAAGTCCGCAGCGCCAGCAAAGGATGATCAAATATTCTTCGCACCTCTGCAGAATGAATGCCCGTCGGAATGCGGCAAGCAGTATATTGAAACAAAACCGAGACAAATTATGGCCACAGATAGGCCTTCTTCACCGCAAGTTTCTTGCCATGTGCCTCAAAAGCAGCGACCTTGGCAAACTTTTGCAAACTCAATGGCAACCAACCTAAAAATGACATTGCAAAGGTTCGGACTGTTAGGACAACGCATCATATAGCCTTTGCTGGATGTTGACATTGGCTTCACTACGATACCTGAGAAGGGGGGCACGAAAACCAGCAGCCGCCAGACGAGTGTCTCTTTTTCTGGCGGGCGTCGCGGCACAAGACACATGGTCGGCAGCTTGCGAGTCAGCGGTGCTGCGGATGTGGGGGGGCGTATGTAATGGTGATGGAGGGAGCAGAGAAGCAAGCCGGGCGGCTTTGGGATAAGTTTGGTATGAAAGAAATAGTGAAAGAGAAGTGCGATACGTTGTATGTTGGTGTAGGTCATCATCACAAGGCAATGGCATGTGTTTGTCACACGCAGGAAGGTATGCGTCTTATAGAAGTTGGAAGGCGACATCAGCGTTAGCGAAGGGGAAATACCATCTGAGTTCGAGTGGTGGGAGACAACGACCTTCTCCATAGTCAGCGTCGCCCGCGCGCGCGGCACGCGTGGGGTTGAAAAGAAGCAAGTGTGTGTTTGTTACATTTGGAGTGTTTGAAGTTTGCAATGCATACTGCGGCACGCCGAAAAAAGCGGCATTCGTTGATTTGGAAGAGTGAACGGGCACGCCTTACCCGCGACACGGACGTTTGATCCCGCGAGGAGCTTGGCTAGCAAAGGAGCGAGGATTTGTGCGCCTATCGATGCACATGCCTGGACTTGAGCGAGTCATGTCCTGGCTCGATCCAAAACACAATCTTTTTCCTTTCCAGGGGCCTTTATTAAACGATCCAAGCACCTTCTCTATTCTTCTCTTTCTTGTCAACTCTGCGCTTTTCTCACTCAGAGGCCTTGACTTTGGCACCTGCGTGTGTAGATCTTAGGACCATGGACCCAGGCTGACTGGATTCAGCCAGGGCTGCCAGCAAAAATCTCTCTCTATCTCTCTATCTATCTATGTATGATCTATCTGTCTGTCTGTCTATCTATCTATCCATCTGTACCGGCAAGCCGGAAAAAACGTTCGGTGCGAGTGGACGCCGCGAGAAGCATCCACTCAACTGAGGACATGGTGTAAGTATAGTTTTTGCTAGGGGGCAGGAACCCTATGCGGATATGTAGTCAACCTCGCAGGCATCCCCACCGAAACTCAATCCAAATTCATGGACTTGAACTCATGTCACTTTCGGTTCTCTATGGACTTCGCGAGTTACGGGTTGCCCTGGGAAATCAAATCCTACATGCAGCGGTCTGCTCTGTACGTGGGTCCCTGTCTCCACTCGATTGCTCAATGCCCATTGTCCAAATAGCCTCCGAAGCCCTTCATGACGCTGATGATGCGCTACTCGGCGTTCATTGCATCACTCGCATCGCCAGACCCCATTTTCACTGCTTTTCTGACCCTCGCTTTGGAGCGCTCTCCCCCACCAAGCTCCGGCTTCGCCCTCTCAAACTGTGCCTTTTCGCGACCTCCCGCCCCCCACACCCCCTTAACTCGCTTCGTTCGCTCTAAAAGCTCAAGCCTAGCCTATCGGCTGGCTTTCGTAATAATTTGATTAAGCGCGCGGTCAAAGACCTAAAGGCAGATTAGGTCTAAAAATCAACGCGCTTGATCTTGTATTTTCACTCCGCGTAATATGTAATTTTTGCAACGTATAGGTTGCTATCTTACCTTCTGCGTAGCTTGCGGCCCACAACAGGTGCTATTGTTTGGACGGCTGTTTCGATAGGTTGTCAGCCGTAGGACTCTACCACAGCTATGGGTCCAGCCTTAGCCTTGTCTAGTGATAGTGATGGTTCTGCGTTGGCCAATTGGATGATCCAACCGGCATCAACACGCGCATCAGCTAAATGGCCGGGCGTTGAACGAACGTGGCAGGTTGAGACTTGCAGACCGGCGCGCGCGGAGAGTAGCCCACAGATGGAAAACCAACAATTAAGCACTCCATGAATGTAGGGTCAGGCCAACTGATAATGACAATCAGCAAACCAATGACGTGTCGTCCCTTGGTGGCAGCGCGAGGTCCTAGTGGTTGCGTGGAAGGCCTGGAGCCAGGCGGCGATGAGCCAAGAACGCCAAGCCAACTCCCTCACCCATGGCCCACGCGCTGGCGAGTCTTCCGGACATCGCGTCCGAGGCAGCGGTACTGCGCGGCGGCAACGACTAAGTCATGGTTAACGACACCCATAGTCTCGAAAGGTGTACAGGCCACTGCTTGAATTCGAGCTGGAAGCGTCGATCTTCGCCAAAACTCCAAAAGGAATCAAGGGAGGAAGAGCCGTAGCCTTGTGCCAGGACAGGGATACTTCGTCAGGCATCACATTCAACCTCGGAAGAACGGCTACTGGCCAGACCCAGAGGTCGCTACAGACATCAAGTTATCCGGTGAGCGCATGACCGTCGTTGAGCCATGCGCACCGGAAGGTGTTGCCGAGAAGATTCATGAGAAGTCTGTGATGCATCACATGCCATGGAGGAAGCCGTTCCTATGGACTGGTTGCACATGCCTTTTCACGACGGAATGTGTGGAACCCCAAACGGTCATTTCCATGGTAAGCAAAACACGAAATAGAGGTGGGGCCAAGAACAAAGCACGAAGTGCCAATTTCTCATACCTTGACCAGCTAAATGATAAGAGTCAACCATGCATGAGCAAGCCAGTGAACACTGTCACATGCGACGTGAAGCCGTTTTTGCAGTCATGCATTGACAGGTATATCCAACTGGCAGGGAACAAAGGCATGAAACTCAAACATGTCACAACCCCGCTCCACGATGAACGTATTGCTAGGCCCGTGCAAGATTAGAAAGAAGCAAAAGGGGTCCTAGCCCCCATCGCAGTCAGAGTGCTTATGAAGATTCTTTTCGCTGCACGAATGTTGATCTTCTCAGAGCAGTTCAAGGCCTGGCTGCTAGGGTCACTAAGTGGTCCGAGGACTGCGACAAAGCGTTGCGCCGCTTAGTATGTTACGTTCAGTCCACGCTTGACCTCCGGATGACCGCGTGCGTCGGGAGAATACGACAATAGGAGCACCAGCGGATGTTTCCTTGTCTTAGTAGGACCAAATACCTACTACCCGCTAACGGCATTTAGCAAAAACCAGACTTCAGTCAGCGTGTCCAGCACTGAGTCAGAGGTCGCTTCTGCAAATGTATCTCTACGTGCTGTCGGTTTGCCTTCTTCCGGTCTATGGATGCACCTCCAGAACGCGGGGGGTATTCAGAGCGACGCGCGAAGGAAGAATTGCAAGCCGGAAGGCTTGCCGCGACAACTACCAATGAACAAAGTCACGACAAGTCCCAATCAGCACGGTGAGTTCTGGGAGTATGACCCGAGTAGAAGATGTTTGTCGTACATCAACCCGAACCCAAGAAGTCATTTGTTCGTCCCGTCCGTTGACAAGGACTGTTTCATCCCTCTCGAGAGACTGGGGATGGCCAGGACTACCATCATGTCGAGGAAAGGGAAGCCCCTGGGCCTGATCCAAGATAACTGGCGGGCGCGGGGGGAATACCCTGTTGATGAACCATGGACCGGACGTACTATGTTCAGGGTGTATGGTCCAAATGATGTGGACTACCGGGTTGATGGACAGGAGATTCGCGAGGCTCTTACGGATTGGGAGTTCCTTGGGACCGAACGAGAGGGGTCAATGCTGATAAGCATGTTCTTTCCTAGCTCGGTGCAGGGTGTATTTGTGGTAGATAATCAAGCCACCATCCGTATCCTTGAATCTGGGAAATCACCGTCTTTTCGGCATACAGACAAAACTCAAAGGGTAAACTTATCCTGGCTTGCAGAACAATTCAAGCGAAAGTGGTTCAGGCTGGTGCGTGGTCCGACCGTCTTGCAAGCAGCCGATATTTTGACAAAGCCGTTCACTAATGCAGACAAGTGGAAGAGGGCCGTTAGACTCATGGCAATTGGTTCCAGAGCTCCTTCTCGAAATGCTGCCATCGCTCGTTCAGGAGATGATGGATCGGAGGAGTTGAACAGCTCAGGGGAACCTGAAGCCGAGCCTGAAGCCCAGAGACTACTTGTTGAACTTTGCTGCAGTGAAAGCTCTAAGCTCGGTGACATGTCAAGAAAGGCCGCATTAGGATGCAAGGTTATGAGGGTGACAGAGAAGGACAATCTCAATAGTACAGCCTGTCAAAGACGCATCAAAACCGGAATAAAGAAATTCCTGAGAACACACAAACCCAAGGATGTTATGATTTGGGCTAGCCTACCGTGCACGGGGGGTTCCCCATGGCAGTATGTGAGCACGCAAATGCCATCAGACAAAGCAAGAGTTCGGAGACACGTCCGAGAGTTCAACAAACTGTGGAAGTCCCTTGTGGCCACAATCGAGAGCATCGATGAACCGATCACAATCGCAATCGAATGGCCCAAAGGTTGCTGAGGAGCAAGAGGAAGCCGAAGCCCGCGCCGCCCGCCTATGCTTCATCTTGAAGCTTGATCGGGCCGATGACGATGCCGTCGATCTGGCTGGAGAAGCTTTCGTGGCACACAAATGTCGATTTCTGACGTTGGCACAGTTTGCCACTTACGTCGACTTCGCCATGCTGCAGAAGCACTTGCCACCTCCGATCGTCGTCGGCTGGAGAAGGTCAGTGCGATTTCTTGGAAGTCGACGGCGAATCAGTGTTAACATACATTCTGGATTCTTTCCGATCGACCAGGCCGAAGGCAAGGCAAAGAAGGGCAAGGGCAAGGGCAAGGCTCTAGCATCGGGTTGCTTTGTGTGCGGAGGACCACACTACAAGATCGACTGCCCAGTCTACTACGAGCAGCGCCTGCAGCAGCGCACCCAGAACCGAAAAGGGCAGGGCAAAGGCAATCGCCCGCGTCCATGGGCGCCTGCCGCACATCATTGGCGGGTGGTCCAGAGGTCTGGTGATGGGAAGGGCGCCGCAGGAAATTCGTCCGATGCCGTCGTTTGCCCGCCTGACAGGGCGATTGCGCAAGATCTCGCCATG